CGAAATATCCCTTGCAGGTTATTCATTGATCCGAAGAGACTCAATGAGAGATCGAGCAGGTGGTGTGATTCTCTACACGAGTGACCACCTCCCCCAAGCGATCACTCTGTCACTCCCTCTCATCCCTTTAATAGACTGCCCCTGGGTACAAATTCCCGTGACCCGCTCTGAGACACTCGTGCTAGGAGTAGTCTACCGCTCACCCTCCTGTGGCGAGCTAGAATCACAACTCCTGATAGATCAACTAAAAAGCTTACGATCTATGCGCCCCAATGCGCATCTTCTGATAACTGGAGACTTCAACGCTCCGGGAATAGATTGGCGCAGACTCCACGCCCCGGATAACACATTTGGTAGGCTGTTGGTCAACCTGGTCACAGAGCTGTCCTGGTCACGTCAAAAGTCAACGAGATACAGAAACGGGCAATCCCCTCCACTGCTAGACCTTGTCATAACAGATGATGGTCACCTCACAGACACAATTCAACAGCATTGCTCTTTGGGCAAGAGTGAGCATATCGTGTTGTCTTTCGATATAATAGTCCACTGGTCCAGATGCGTTACACCGTGTCTTAGGGAGGTTCATTCTTTGAAAAGGACAAACTTCAACGACCTGAGGCATTTCCTCCAAACCCATACCCCACATAACAATCACATACTTGATGTAGAAATCTCCAGTAGCACAATATATCCGTGTAATCGCATAGCGGACCATCTGCCTGTGCCCCGCGTCCGTAAATCCTCCTCAAATAGGCTATTCGTCGTCTTTTATAACGTTCGCGGTCCTTTGCCAGGTACAAACTGACGGGTTGAAGGGAAGATGCCAATGGCTTCATCCGAATTCGCAATTTATACAAAGCAAGCGATCGAGAGTACCAGAGAAACCAACAGAACGGTATTTTAGACAGGGCACGGGTAAACCGGTCAGTCCTGTGCAAATTTATGCGACGAACCCGGCAAAACACTCCATACACCCTTGCCCTATCTAAATCTGACGGTAACCCAGCCACCTCATCTGCAGAAGTGGCGGAAATATTCCGGTCCCATTTCGACCAAATTTTTAACATCCCGTATGCAATCAGGCATCCCAGTCTTCATCCCGTAACCTACAAATTCCCGTTAGATCACGTTGTCATAACAGTCTCAGAAGTGGAAGAACAACTAAAACGCGTGAACTTCTTCAGCTCCATGGGTACAGATGAAATCCACCCCCGTATACTGAAAGAATCCGCGGACGTGTTGGCTGCCACATATGCCCATCTCTTTTAAATGTGCTTGGACACAGTAACCCTTCCACAACAGTGGCAGAGAGCAACTATTATCCCTATTTATCAGAAAGGTGATAGACACTTACCTACTAGCTATAGGCCTATCAACCTAACCAGCATTCCCAGTAAGATCTTCGTGCACCTACTTAAACAGCGTATTCTAGGACATCTAACTGAGAACGGCTTGGTACTCGCTTCCCAACATGGCTTCCTATCAAACAGGTCATGCATCTCCAATATGTTGACCTTAATGGATAGTTTAATCCGTGCCTATGACGAAGGCTATATTTCGCACGCGATCTTCATAGACTTTGCCAAAGACTTCGACAGAGTGCCACACATCCCTCACTTGTACAAACTAGAGAGTCATGGAATTACTGGCCGATTGCATTCTCTGCTTACTAGTTTTGTGTCGAATCGCTCTTTCGCGGTTGGAATAAGCACATCCGTTTCTTCACCCTCCACAGTCTCAATAGGAGTCCCACAGGGCTCCGTACTAGGTCCCATCCTATTCCTGATTTATATGTTAATAATAATAATAGTATATTTTGTCGTTTTACATCGAGAAGCGTGCAGATTGCGCACGATCAATTGGGCAAGGTTAGAGTGATAATAGAAATAAAGCATAAGGAACATTTACAGGAAGATATGGTGATTATGAAACTTATTTCGCTGCAGAAAAGCTGATTAGAGAGTACCTTGTTTTAGCGCTTCACCTGACACTGTAGTGCAACAAGAGTTCGACTTGAAGGTCATTGTAAAAAAGCGCGTTTTACATTTACATGAAATAAATCAAACGTGCAGAATTGCAAAAAGGTGATCGTTGCAGAAGAATAATAAATATTTTCCATGTTATACGGCAAATAATTTAATAAACACCGGTTGATATGGAATATCAGAGATTTTATAGCAGGGCAGGTGAGGATACGAAATTGTTATTCTGTATGCATGCATACAAATTGAAACACTTGCAAGGTAGTTGTTTATGTTCACTAATCAATGTTCTTATATGGGAAGGCTTCTGCCACTAAGATCAGATTGTTTTTTAAAAGGGTTCTAAATATTTTGATCAAGGACGATGTTAATAACGAGAGAGTTATCCACTTCTACAGCTTTAGTTCAATCTGTTACTATGATGAATATTTACATTGGTTAACCAGTATAAATTTTAATTTGATTGAATTGTGCACTATTATGATTATAAGGGCATCCATGTATCTGGTTTCGGACATGATTAGTTAAAAATCATTTGACATATGGCCGTATGCGGGAAGTAATCAGGGAAACTGATGATAATTGGGAGTATAATATGCTGTATCATACAAAACCGAGGGCTGAATCAATAGGTATTTACTTTTTTGCAACATCTTGAGCACTGGCACAGGACAACGCCTCGGGCCCAAGCCATCTAGTGCTGAGAGGTAGGAATCTGGTTATATCAGGCTGTATCAGATGGAGGTCTGTTGAGGAGCAATTACAGTACCGTTATAGTAAACAACCCGATGAAAAATTTAGTCAGACATAATCGTCAATCACTTAATAGAATAATAGAGAAGGGTAGGAGAGGTATCGTTTCGGAGCCGGGCACCCCACGGTTTAGAGATTAGTGATCTCCCTAAACGTCTCTCTATAAAGATTGCCATGTACGCGGATGATGTCACTATCTGGGGCACAGACGTATCCAAAGTGCAGCCGGCGATTGACTAAACCAAAAATTGGTCAGTCGACTGGAGCTTACCAATCAATGACGAAAAATGTGCAAGCATGACCTTTGGTAACGCTCCTGGTCAACCTTTCTGGGTAAACGGTTCAACCCGTATCCAAAATTCTGGGTTTCTGGCTGAATAGCAACATCTACTTTTCTTCCCATAACCAAAAAGCCAGTAAAACCGCTTTGGTATTCTTAGCCTTATCAAACAATCTTTCTCGAGTATAGCCAAAGAGGACTTCCCTTTCCGCTATGGAACATACATACGCCCACTGTTAGAATATGGCAGCCAAATTGCACATTCTGGCCTCATTGGCGACCGCGACCCACTAGAGCGTGTGCAGCGAAGGGCCACGAAAGTAGTACATGGCTTCTCAGAAATCCCTTATCCTATCCGACTACAACAGCTAAACCTATACCCTCTAAATATACGACGTATCAGAGGGAATCGTTTTCTTCTGTTTAACTTTTTCTCATCGGGCCAAGTTGACCGTTTCTTCACACGCTCTAGTCTGGAACACTTAAGGGGACACCCAAACAAACTCTTCAAACACCGGCCCAGAACGTTCATCCGCTCCAACTTCTTCACGTACAGGGTCATCTCAGAATGGAACCAACTTCCACTAGAGATTGTGAACTCCTCCTCCGAAAGAGTCTTCAAAACCCTGCTAGACTCACACCTAGGGCTTACCATACCCCAATCTAATTGGCCTCCGTCTTCTGAAGGAAACCCCCACGTTATCTCGCTTATGCCTGTTACCACACCTCTCACATCCTCGCTCTCCTCTAGACTTTTTCCGATGCATGAACCCTTAACTATTGGAGCCAGCCTTCATTTCCGTCCACATCCCTTTCAGCTCGTGAACCGAACTGCAGAAAAGAAGATAAATCCGAAACCGGGAATATTGGGCTCAAGCCTCGAACCCAAGTACTACTTCAAGACTTCAAGACACTATGCTCTGTAAAGTGGTCAAAAATGGCTTAGGGTTTCGCCAGATATTGCTCACACGATGAACTAGGTACCAGGATATAGTCTAAGTAAATAAACCCAGAGTCCAAATCTCTAAAAGCCTTTTCGAGGAAACTCTGAAAGGACCGTGTGGCATTGTTCAAAACGAATTGCATACCATTTCCGACATCAACGGCAGACTCTAGTCCTCAGAAAAAATTGTTTTGAACCTTAGCCTCACTCGTCTTCCTTATGGATCCTCCATCCCAGCCTATGACCAACCCCGCCCAATCTGGTTTGATGTTGGATTCCATTGCCTCAGTAACATTAGGCGTATCACTAATTCGAAGCGTGCGGTTGTTTTCAACGTGCCTGATGAACTCCCCTCAGGCCAAACTAAGGACACCGTCCTGAAAGCTGCCAACATGTATGGATACCTACGTAACTGTATTAGACTTCGCAAGAGATTCCAATGCTTCTCTTGCCTCCTACTGTTTGAATTCCCCAACGATGTCTTAGCAAAGCCTAATATTATTGCTAAAAATTCTCCATTTAAGACCATAAAATTCACCCTGACAGAACCCCTCTTAAGAGGACGACCCATACAATATCCAAAAGTGGGCGGGGGTTACCAGGGTCAATTGACACCCGTTGCGTAATCCCCCTGCCTCTATCGCTATTGTAACTCCACCCAACAAATCACGGATCCAACAAGTTGATGTAGATGCACTGAACTCACCATCTTCCAAACCTCCATCACCTAAGCGCCCAAACATTTTACCTGTGCCCTCTAGTATACCTGATTGCTCTAATAGACACGCCACTCCCCTCCTCGTGGGAGCAGGAAATATTCGCCCTCAAATCAGGAGGTCCTCCAGCCTGACCACTTTACATATAAATAGCCATATACCCACCCCCTATAAATCTCGTAGCACTAATAATTCCCCTACGACTCATTTGTCTCGCTTCCCCTATTCTCTAGCCGTGGCCCTACCATTACTGGTACGTTTTTGCCCCTACCATAAACCCACTCGCACCGAAGCCAACCCGCGTCACCCCACTAATCAAGAAACCGTCGAATAGCCACAGCAACCTCTTTATGCCCACTCTAGGTTCTATAAATCAAAACCCTACGGATTTTAGACCATTGCCTACCCCGAGCGACACCCAAGGTTGCTCCCCCTGTGCCCCTAAAATCATTTCGAACTTACCACGTCCTTCTTACCTCCAGAGTTATGCCCTTTACCTGACTCCCTTAACGCCCTACTAAGGGCTTACTCAAGCACCAATCACAGTGCCTGACCTTGTCACTCGTTGGCCCATGTCACAATCGAATCTTGATCGCCAGTTCTCACGCTTGCCTGAAATACCTCCAATCAATATCCTTAGGGCAAAACACCTCCGATCGACCGCCCTCAACTCCAAACGGCTCTTGCCGATCTTCTTTATCCACCATATAATCTATCTCTTCCCCCACCGCTAGCCCCCTATCCGCTCTACCCATTTTTTCTCCCCTCCTCAAGTACATATAACCCTCCATTAGGTGAACATGTTCCTCCCTCCTGCCCCCTACTCCCCCGTACTCCGCTTTCTCCGCTTGGCTCAATTATTGACGCTACTCATTTTAAAAGCAGCGTTCAACTCCCCCATATGTACAGACTCCCCCTATCCACCTCTCCCTGAATAGCCCCTCTAACCTCTCACTTCTTCTAATTAATTCTCGCTCGATCAATAATAAAATGGAAACACTTAAACATATTGCGCGCACAAGGTCCTTAGATATCATCATGGTCACTGAAACGTGGCTGCAGGAGGACTTCTCCTCAGCGCTCTTCTACTTGGTTGGGTACAAGCTCTTTAGGAAAGACAGGCAATATCGCCGGGGTTGGCGGTTGTCTTGTATATTTTAAAACCCCTCTAAAAGCTACTGTATTAAGGAGCCCTATTTTAGATAACATACATGAATCGATTTGGTGTAGCGTCGCACGTCACTCGCAAACCATGAATATTGGTTGTATTTATCGCCCCCTTTCAACACCCCATGACTTTTCTTCTATTTCTGACGTTTTCAACTACCTGGCTGACCTCGCACCAGAACTCATAATTGTAGCAGGTGACTTCAACGCACCTAGTATATCTTGGTCCTCCTCAGCAGCACCAAACAATCTTACTCCTTTCCTATCTAGCATTACGTCTAGTGGCTAGACACAGCACGTGAAATCCCCCACTAGGAGAACCTATGTTTTGAACTTAATTTTCACAAAGAACCTGATGGTTTCTCAGACATCTATACTGGACCACTTCCCAGGTAGTGACCATAGAATGGTGAAATGTACCTTTTTACTTTAGCCGTCCAATAGCTCTGCCCCTCCAGCCAAGGCTCCTCTTATTACTGATTAGTCTTCTTTACCCAGTTTGATTCGTTCCCAGGATTGGACTGGTTTCTTTCTCTCCTCTAGCCCACAAGCTGCAGCGGATAAACTTCACTAGAACCTATCTAACCGCCTCCCCTCGCTCACCCTGGATACCTCACCTACCCACCAACGCCCCTCCAACCTCGATAAATTATGCAAAAAAATTTATTAAAATAACTTGGCTATACCAGACTACCCATGACTTTTCTCTCCTTATGCAACTGCATTCGCTCGCACAGACGATCCGACTTAAAACTAATAGTTTGCATAGAAACCAAGAACTTAAATCTTTATCACATCTGTAGC